TAATATTTTATTCATTTTCTTATTTCTTTATTCATTAGATACTATTTTTATGATGTTAAGAAAGACAATATAAACCATTGCCTATTTTCAAAAAAAAAAAAAGAAAAAAAAAGAAAGACAATATAAAAAATAAAGAAAATAAATATTAGCTTAATGATAATCTATAAACTATTACTTTGATATTATTTTTTATTTTAAAATTTGTTGTTTGGATCACTATTTTGGTATATGCTTTTAGTTATTTCTAAGTTGGAATTAGCAATACAGAAATATCATTAAAGAAATACTTATGATTAAAAAGGTATAATATTAATTTCAACCAAATTGAAAAAAATATTGCTACCTAAACTGAAAATCCACAGCAAGCTTTAGAGCATGAGGGGTGAACCAACCGGCCCTAGTGGACTGGTTCATACAATACTAGTTAATTGCATTAATTAGTGTACATAATAATCTCTTAATTCATAGACTAAATAATATGAAAGGAGGTTTTTCTTTATCTTTAATTGCAAAAGAATGTTTTATTAATAAAAGTACAAAAGGTACTCAAATTCATTACATTTGTACACACATAAACCATGTCGAAAATAATGCATTAACAAATGACGACCCACAAAAACTTTCAAACAACCCACTAGAAAAACGAAACCAAAAGCAACAAAGCAAGAGGCCGGCCTCACGATTTAGTAATATATTGAAGACATCCCAGCATGGATCAGACATTAAGGCAGAACCACCCACTATTCTTAAGCGACTAAATAACCTGCTAGGAAAGGTGTAACATAAGTAAGCATTAATTTGGAACACTTACCATATTGTCTGTCACCTTAATTTGCTGTTGTCGCAACATTTGGTTCCTTCAGGTTGTTAGAGACTTAGAAGGGAGGTATTCAGATATCGATGTTGCAATATATGGATTTTATAGTGTCGTTTTTTTGGCCTTATGCACTTTATGGTTGGAGAGGACGAAAATGTAGTGGAAAGTAACATTAATTTTCCACAAGATTTGATTTAAGATTTTATATAGACAATTATACAAGGATTTGATTGAAATAAACCAAATTAAATCTTAGTAA